GTGTGTGTGTAAGAACATTATATTAGTTTCCGATTGTGAATTATTATAACAAAATGGGCCTCATTCGACTGCATCAATTCACAGTACGGGTTGTACCCGTCCGTTAGAAGCTAACCCAAAGGAAAATCTCAGAATACAAACATTAAAAAATAAAAAATCACAAAACAACAGCAGATCTTTACAGATCTATGATTTAATTAAGATTTTAATCGAAGGAAAATGTTTAAAAAAATTTAAAAAAATCAAAAATTGGCATATCTTCCAAGATCTATCACGTAGTCAATGACATACTATTCAGATCTGTATATATCTATTATGGAAGCTAACCCAAACTGAAGTTTCAGAATAAAAAGATTAAAAAAAAAATCACAAAAAAACTAGATATCTGTACAGATATATGATTTTATTAAGATTCTATTCGAACGAAAACGTTTAAAAAATTTTAAAAAATGTAAAATTGGCATTTCTTCCAAGATCTATCACATAATCAACGAAGAACTCTTCAGATATGTATAGATCTAATATGTAATCACTCTTTTTAATAGAAAAATATTTTAAAACATTAAAAAAATTACAAAAATATATAGATCTGTAAAGACCTAGCATGTAATCGACCGATTTTCACCGATATACAATGAATTAGTACATCGGTGTTTTGAAATCGGGTCGATTTCGATTTGTCGCCTCCTTTTTTTCGAAAAAATTGAATCTTAGGTATTTTTTCAGTATCGGGTTGAGAAACATAACTGAAACGCCGGTGAAACATCATTTTTGGCAAATTTATCGCCGAAAAATGGCCAACAATTTCAGTAGATAGATAAATGAGAGAGAGAGAATCGGCTACAGAAAACGTAAGAGAGGCGAGAAAAATAGCGAAAATGAAGCCTGTGTAGAGTTTTCGGTATTTAAATGATAAGGCAGGCTCTCAAGACACGCGTCGCGCATCCAAGTCCGATTTTATGGACGTGTCACAATATAAAGCATTCATTTTCGGTTAACATGTATAGGGCTCAATTGCAAGAGTGATTAATATATTTGGGCTCAGAAATG